AGGTGTTCTTATAAATATCTTTCCTTGTGCCTATAATTAAACAAGTGATTTTTCAGAAGCACCATAATTCCCGTAATTTTAAAACGAAAATCTTAATTGAAGTACAACTTCTCATTTCATCTGATGCTCAGCATCCTATTTCCTACGTATCTTTCTGCTTTGATATTTGTTTTACATACAAATATGCCAGAAAACAAAAATTCAACAAGTAGTTGAACATATTGCATCTTTTATATTCCGTTTCTTTTCGAGGTTTACACAAGAGATAAGCTGCGAGTTGACGAACAAGAAACCCATCAGGATTCTGTGAAATTCTGTGTTTTGTGACTTCCCAGTTGAAGGTTTTCCCAATTACCTCGTCTGACTACTGGATTGCAGTTTAACATGGCAAATTTCTGAGTGTAACTTTGTGTTTGGTTTTAGTGAAAGTTCTCCAAATAAACACTAACACTGTCGTGTTGACTTTAGAGAATAATTTCTTGTCCTGATCTTGCTTTAAGAAAACTTTAATGAGAAATATGCTCTTGTTGTTGTTAAGTCAGTTTTCTTTTTGTAGTGATTTAAACATAAAGGCAAGATTTATGGAAATGACTGCAGGGTGGTGCTGGCCTAATTAGTCATTATTTCTGGCAAGGCATAAAAAATTGGTCGTTCTTGTGCCTATAACTAATAGTGTGCTTTGTGTTTAATCTGTAAGTCTTTTGTAAAACAAATGGTTGTGCTAAAAACTGCAAGATATACACATTTAAGGTTCTTATAGTATTATTTTGCATGCTGTTTTGGGGTGTGATTTAAGTTCTTCGTTGATAGTTAAATTTACTATTATGTATATTTAAAATGTATATTTGTATATATCCTTTAAAAACCTGTATGTTTTTAAAGGAATAGCAGTAGCTGAGCTGGAATGTGCAGTAGCAATTTTGGAATTGAGTATGGCTTTTCTACTAGTGTCTATTCAAGGATTAAACACAAAGCACTGCAGCGCTTTATAAAAGTACTAATACCTATTACAAGTTTTTGCAAAGAGTTTTAGGATTATCCATGTGATATGTTCACCATTGGGCTGAGGGGTGTCTTTTAGGGCTTTTTTTTTTTTTTTTTTTTTTTTTTTTTTTTTTTTTTTTTTTTTTTTTTTTTTTTTTTTTCTTTTTTTTTTTTTTTTTAGGCCTTGTTCCAGTGAATTACCAGTAATTGGTATTTCACCCAGAAGCGACCCAGGTGACTTAAGAATTCCACCACCTTCAGCATGTGGAATGTCTTTCCTAATCAGGCTTAAGAGAGGGGGAGCATTAACACAGGAATGATTGAAACCTGCCTTCTAAAGGGAAAAAAATCCAGCAGGGCATGTGACACAGATGCTCCTCCTCCTCTGTGCCTTTGCCCTCTTGTCGTCCAGCCACAGCCTGTGCTGGTCTTGGACATCCCTGGTGACCAAGGGTTACACCTAAAGCACCAGGATGCTTTGCATGGGCCTCTCTGTGAATCCACTTCGTGATTAAACTTTTAAAAGTTGCAGCCCCCAACGTGCAACTGCAGTTTCATGGTAGCTCTGACATTATTTTACTGTTCACGCTGTGAATTTCATTCTATAGGAAAATGAGTATTATATTGGCCTTTTAAGTTGGTTGTCAGTGGAGAATAGGGAAGCTACACTTAGAGCATCTGTATGCAATCTTGGAGACAAGTAGGACCCTCTGGAAAGCTGTTACTGTTGGGGCAGAACTAATCATTCTGTGTGAAATTATATAAGGAGAATTAGCTCTGACTCTACCTCATTTCCTTTCATACCGCTGTGAAAATAAGCTTAAAAACGTCAAACCTTCCCTCCTTATTTCTCTAACTACTTTGTTAAATACTGCTTTTTATTAAGGCTTATTTATTGTAGGTGCTCGAAAAGAAAATATAACTACCTGTAGTTCTATGTACTAATGGGATGTGCACATCCTCGCCCGATTTGGCAGTTGTGATTTCCTTCTCAGGACGGGATTCCCGGGATCAGTTGCCATTTCCTTCTCTGTACTTTGACTTTATTTCCCCGGTGGATCATTCAGAGTCCTTCACGTTTAAGGTAGGGCGCTTGATGTGAGGGGAGATTGTCAATCACAGCCTGCCTTGGCTATTTAGAAAAGAGAGATATCAAAAGCCTGCTTGGCGCTCTAAGGAGCAGTCAGGTCACCTGCTGAGTCTCCTGGCAGGAGCCTAAACTCGTGCAGCCTTTAAGTTTAGCAAAGAAAACGTGGCTCTCTGGAGGTCATCGCTCTGTGCTGAGGTCCTGTGCTGTATGTGTGAGCACACAGCTCAGTGTAAAGATAGGTATGTGTGGGCCGTTTCTGACATGTTCCTCCAGCCAGGTCTTAAAAACAATCAGTGAAGATTTGTGTAACCCCTCCATAACCTAATCCCTTGTTTAACTATCCCTGGAGGTAGCATATTTCCTCTAATACTATTCTAATTTTTTTTCCTAACCCATTAAGCTTCTTGGTTTTTTTTTTTTTTTTT